CTCTTATTGTGTTCTGCAACTTACAAATATAAATAAATATGTTTTTCGAACTGAAATTGCACTCAATTTTTCCCATCTACCCTACATTAAAGTCTACTTAATTTACAGTTCTGTACTGATCAGCAGCTGGGAGACCGTGCCAGGTCAGACCATGTGGACTATTCTTAGATCTACATTTCTGGGTCAGAACTTCATTAAATGAATTTGACTCAAAGCCTCACACGTTTATTTATTTATTTACTAATACTGTCCAGCTAAAGCCGTGCAGACTTTTCATAAGCCTGGGTTTTCCACACGCAGGGACTTTTTTAAATTTTTTTTTTTTTCGAGTTCTTTCAAAGCAGATGAAAATAGAACCTGCATTATCAGAACTGGCAGCAAACAGAAGACACGGCCCGAGGGCGGCACCGCGCCGGAGTCGTTCACATGAAAAACAAACGTGTGCTTATTTAGACCGAGCACTGACTGACTCCAGGTCAGCCTCTAACGTTTCTGTCTTTGTGCTGAGTGGACTCTGATGGAGGTTTGTTTTTCTTACGCCCTACAGCTCAGCCTCAGCCAATCAGAGCCAGTGGTCAGTAACAATGACCATTGGAAAAATATTACACACACACACAGAGACTAGCGTACATGTTAGATTCTCCAAGTTCAATAATAGAACGTTCTCAAACCAATGAATAATTGTTTAGACTAATGTTCTCCAAGTTCAATAATAGGACGTTCTCAAACCAATGAATAATTGTTTTGAATAATAATAATTTTTAAGTTCAATTTATGACAAAACAACATAGTGTTGTTTTTAGTGCAAATTTTAAACATATTATGTGTCATTTTGAGGCAATTCTGGATCATTTTAATTTGATTTTTTTTCACAAAAATCATAGTATAATATAACACCTTTGGTTAAGGTTTGACATAGACATAGATCAATTATTTTATTGATCCTTTCCCTTTCTCTCCTGTTATTTTCCCACACAACTGGAACACGATTAATCAGTTGATTATGAAGGATTACCTTGATGTTTTATTCTGGCCCGCCCCACTGCCAAATATTATTTTTAATAATAATAAAGTGGACAGTAAATACTGTTAATGTTCAGTCAATGACAGCTATATGAGTTTGTTTGTTAGAAGTGAACTATGACAATAAACGGAACACAAACATGAGCAGCTGTCGGCCATTTTTATTTTGTAAAAGTAGCTCTCAGAGGAAAAACAGGTTGGAGACCGCTGTGCTGGACTGTATGGGTAGAATGTCTGTTTCCTGTTTATATAGCCTGGCTTCCTGCCTAATTAGAGGAGAAAATGGGTCTGGGCTCTGAGTGCGTGCGTGTGTGTGTGTGTGTGTGTGTGCATTATAAGCAGGAAAACAGCGCATGTTGACCGTGCGCTCGAGATCTTTCAGCATGAAGGACCGCGTCTCTGAAATATTGATGAATCAACCTCGCAACTCGTATGTCTGTCTCTGTGTGTGTGTTGACCGTGTGTGTGTGTATATACATTAAGGTTGTGTTCTGGAGTGGAGAAAGTCGATACGCTTCCTACCAAAAACACACACACACACACACAGGCAGAAACACTCTCTCCTCTGACTCCCAGAGGACGACGGGAAAAACAGAGGAAGAAAAGAATAACAAAGAATTCCACAGTTTCTTCTAATATATATTTTGGAAACATATATGATGTCATATTTGATTGTATTTCTACAAGAATTCTTTGTTGGCTTCATCGTTTCCTTCTCTTTCCTCCTCTTATATTTCTTCCTCTCCATCGTCCTATTCTTCTTCTTCCTCTTCTTCTTCTTCTTCTTCTTCTTCTTCTTCTTCTTCTTCTTCTTCTTCTTCTTCTTCTTCTTCTTCTTCTTCTTCTTCTTCTTCTTCTTCTTCTTCTTCTTCTTCTTCTTCTTCTTCTTCTTCTTCTTCTTCTTCTTCTTCTTCTTCTCCTTCTTCTCTGCTGCTCCACACACGAGACCTTTAATCATCATCATATTTATAGCTCGCTCTTCTCCCAGCAGACCCCAGCTTTGTTCTGATTGGCTGCTTCTACTGGATGTTCACACACCAATCCCGTGTTTAGCAGAACACTCTTAATAATAGCATATCACACAGATGTGTGTGTGTGAGCACAGTCATGACATGGACACACACACACAGATCTGTTAGTAAATCGTATAATAGTAGAGCAGAGATCTCCAACAGGATGAATGATTTTTTTTTTTTTAAATGCAAAGTCGTTGATTTGGAACTAGATGGTTTGATACAAAACACAACTTCAGGTGCAGTGGAGACTGAGCAGTAATATGACATCACATCAACGTCCTGAGTCAAACGAGGACTTCCAGGAAGGTTCGTCATGGCCTCACAGACAGGTCAAGTGTCGCTGTGACCTTTGGAGAGCATCATCCGACATCCTGATATCATCTCACTGTCTCTCTCTCTCTCTCTTCCCCTCTGTACTCTAATTACCCGTGAGTCATCTCACGTGACCTCACTGAAGGTCATTCAGACTCATCACCGGTTCCTCATCCGCTCTTATTTCCATTTCTATTTCTGTATTTGCCCAAACTGGAACACTTTGACCCAAACACAGCTATTAATATTTTTGCCCTGATTCCACCCTGCTGTCACCTGGTTTGTTGAATTCCCTCTGCAGGTTTGTACAGTGTTTATCTCTGCTCAGAGACGTTAACTCGCCACCAGTACCTGCGGTGATTTATAGCTGCATGTAATGAAGACACTAAAGATGATCAACTATGGAGAGTGGGCCGGAGGGGGAGAGGAAGGAGGGGGAGATGAAGGAGGGGGAGATGAAGGAGGGGGAGATGAAGGAAGAGTGAAGGATGGAAGCAGGGAGGGGGGGGGAGGAGAAATGGGGGAGGAGAGGCTCCACTGCAGATGTTTGAGGCTGGTCTTTTGCTGATTGTTGAAATGCAGATGTTGTTTATTAAATTTAAAAAGATTTAGCCAATAATAAGAATAAAAACACAGAAACCATGGAGAAAATGATTCTCCAGAACTGCACAAAAACAACGAGCTTTTTTTTCTCTCACTATAATAAAAGTACAGTTAGATAGGACCATTTTAATGAACTACAATTTGTTACTGAAAATAAGTCCTTTATTGGTTTGGGTCGTGGACATAAAACGAGTTCAAACTGGTCCAGGAGTCATTCATTACATTTATTACAATTTATTACAATTTATTACATCCTTTTTTAAGGTCTTTCTTTGGATGAAATTAGAAATAAATGATGAATTATATAAATTAAACTACATTATCTTTTTCCTTTTTTTTTTCTGATCTAAACGTTTGTCAATTTTAGTTTTTTTATTCAGTGATACATTTGGATTTAAAACCATTTCCTGTTGTTACCGAACACTAATGGGGATCAGAATAAAGAATGACGACAAATGTGCTAAAGACAAAAACTGCAGTAAATCACACACACACACACACACACACAAAGGCCGCTCCAAACAAAGAGGCTTTTCTGTAAAGATCTGCCGTGGACGCGTCTCCTCTGAAGGACTCCACTGTACTCTCTCTGCACCACTGTGTGTGTGTGTGTGTGTGTGTGTGTAGAATGTATGGGCTCACACACACAAAGTGTTCCTGTGTAGCTCAGACTGGAATGTGAGCAGTATAAAATGACCGTAGACCCTCGTTTGTCCTCCCCAGCCCCCCCCCTCTCTGTTCCATCATTCTCTCATTTCCTTCTGTCTCCCCTTCCTCTGTCTCCCCCCCCTGTGTCTCTCTCTGTCCTCGGGACACAGACGCAGATCTGATATTTTCACATACAGACCATGTTTGTCTGTGAGCCTTTAATCTACGCCGTAACCAGAGACTCCGTAACCAGAGGCGTGAAGTCATAAAGCGCCGTCATCGGGATGTAATGACATCTGCAGCGTACATTTGACTGAGGATCACGTTGTACTTTTACTTTTTTTTACTGAACTTTCATTGGTTTTACACGTGAAACGCAGTCATTTCATCAGATTAAAAAGTCATTGAAGAGAATTCAAGAAATCAAATCCTAGTTTTTGGTTAAAAAGACAAAAATAATTGATCATCATAAATGTAGTTCTTGCTTTGATTGTACAGTTTTATACAGGTTTCAACCAGTTTAATGGCATAAATTGGTATAAAAATAATGCAAAAAAATTCAAGGATTTTCTTTTTTAAATACAGTGGAACTCACAAATGAGTCGATAAAGTGAAGAAATTAGGCCTGAAGAGTTAGTAGAACAATGACTCTATAACTATACTGTTAATCATTTTTCAATCTTTTATTGTTTTCAAGGCCATGGAGAGCAAACTGCTGGTTGGAGGAAAAAACATCATGGACCACACCAACGAGCAGCAGAAGATGCTGGAGACGAAGAGGCAGGAGATCGCTGAGCAGGTACCACACTGTGTCTGTGTCACTTTATCATTTCTGAGGCGTGTGTTTGGTTTTTTTTCTTTTTCAAATCCTGCCCTTCAAACCATTTTGACAACATTTCAAACCCAAGTTCAGGTGATTTAGTGAAGGCAGTGTCAGCGTCCACGTTTGAAGTTGCATCACGTGACCACAGATTAAATCCTGGGCATCTGTTTTTATTTTTTAAATTTAATTTGATTTTTTAAGACACGCAGTGAGAGAGAGATCCAGCAGCAAATGTTGACCCAGGACGAGGAGACGCTGGAACTGAGGGAGACGTTCACGTCTCTGCAACAGGAGGTGGAGGCCAAGACCAAGAAACTCAAGAAGGTAAAAGAGCAGAGAGGATTCACACAAATACACCAGAACGACACACATGTACACACATGCACAAAAACACACACACACACAGGAACGACACACAGTACACACATGTACAAAAACACACACACACAGACTGTTCCTGTTCTTGATCCTAATGTGAGTATATCCCTCTTTCAACCCTGAACCCCTGACCCTTGACCTGGATCCCAATGACCCTCTGCCCTCGGACTCACCCTCCGTGCGGACCCACTTTAAAATCCCAGTACCTTAAGGTTTGTCCTTCCTCCCGGCCCGACGATCCTAATTTCCCACCCACCATTCTCCGAGATCATTCTCTTGGCCGTTACGAAGCAAATTCACCACAAATATTCACTCCCAAATCACCCTCTGATTTACCCCTATAACCCCCCCCCCCACCCCTGACCCCCGCTCCTCCTGCCTTCACGGCCCACTGCACGCTGACCCCGGTCAGCAGGACTAACCTCAAACGACCCCGTCACTGTCTGACTATTGGATGACACAGATTAATGACTAATGATCCTGTGCTGATGACGCCCTGATGTGACCCGTTTGCCTTTCACTCCCACCACCCTCCACTGCATGGTGCTGTTTATTCTGCGATACAATAAAACACTATCTAACATTAACACCTAACATTTTAAAACTCACCCAGGACAGGACTCACCCAGAGAACAACCATTCACACCTACATTCACACCTCTGCTCATCTTAGTGTGAACTGTTGACCCTGGAAACTGGACGACTCAGAAATATACAGCAAGTCTTCCTTTGGCTGTAAAACTGTAAAGAAAAACCAGGCAGGAGCAGAGGAGGATGAAGGGCAGCCATATTGATCTCCTCCTCCTCCTCCTCCACGGTCTCCTGTGCTGTTGCTTTGAGCGACAGTTTACAGACCAGTTTATCGCTGACGTTTCTCCTTCACCTCCTCGTGCTCCCTATTTTCTCCCCCCTCTATCTCTCCTCCCCCCTCTCTCTCGCTCCTTCTGCTCCCAGCTCTACGCCAAGCTCCAGTGCATCAAAGCAGAGATCCAGGACGTGAACGACGAGCACGTGAGGAGCCGACAGGAACTGGAACAAACCCAGAACGAGCTGACCAGAGAGCTCAAGTTCAAGTGAGCTTAAATTCTGCTGAGGGTCGGACTCTGAGGCGACCGTCGTTCTATCACAACATCACAACAACCAGAGTAGAAACGGAAAGAAAGAATAGAATTTTTAGCACTAAGTAAATGATGATGGACGCTGTACGTTTGTGTGGCCACGTAGATATAAACCACAGTGTTCATTTTCTACTTTTTTTCTACATGGAACTGATGGAACAAACTTGGTTTTTGGACCACAGATTTTCCACTTTTCTCCAGTGAGCAACACTGCCCTCTATCGGCCAATTTTATCATGTTTTATCATAAAAACAAACGTCTTGATGTAGATTAAATGAAAACATTCACTTTTACCCAAACACCTAATATCAAAATGACGAAATGACAAAATGACATCATCGTGTTGCTTTTTTTTTATCTCTTCAAAATAAGAAAAGACAGAAAGGATCCAAACGCCTGAGGAACCACTGATTCTCATGCACTCTTCCTGCAGGTACCTGATCATAGAGAACTTCATCCCTCCAGAGGAGAAGAACAAGATCATGAACAGGCTGACCTTTGACCCCGAGGAGGACCAGTGGAAGTTCCAGCCTCTGGTTGCTGCTGAAAGGTCAGTGTGGTTTGTTTTAAGGTTTGGTGGGTCGCCGTCTTCGATCAGGGGCCAATCAGAGGTGAATATCATTGAGTGCAGGGGTCAAAGTTCATGTGTTGACCTTGTGATATTGCATTCTTTTTCAATTACCATCAGCCAATTAAAAAAATAACTTTAAATTCTGATTTCTTCTCGGTATTTTTCATTCAGTAAATCCACACATTTGAAGAAACGACCGTCGTCAGCAGTCGGATACAAACGACCCCTCAGTCAGTATGCCAGGGTTGCCATAGCGATGGGAGCCAACTCCAGATACAGAGTAGGTGTATGAGTGTGTGTGTGTGTGTGTGGTGTCACTGTTACAATATAAGCAGCAGTTTATGAAACTACATTACTGGACCTCATTTTTATTCCCTTCATCTCGTCTCACTCGTTCCTGTTTTCCTGTTTCCAGGCTGAGAACATCATGTTCCTGGAGCTGGACATGACTCCTCCAAACACCGCCTCCCTCAACCGCTCCATGGAGGCGGAGCCAAGCCAAAGTCCCTCCGTGGACAGTTCGCCCACCAAGGACGGTAGCGTTCGCAAATCTCGCTCCTGGTGAGTCCAAATAAAAAAAAAAAAACTCACCGGATCCAGAGAAGACAGATTTCAGTCTCTCACTAATAAGTTTAAATAGTTTAAACGGGATTATACGGGATGAGCCGTCCTTCTCTAGTCAGTCCTAATCTGCTGCTTTATCTCATTTCCCTTTGTGTGTGTAATCCTCATCCACACGTGTCTGAATCAGACATCAGAGCAGGATTTTTTTTTAACCCTTTTTATTTCCCTCCTCTCCAGGTATCAGAATCTCAAATCCATCAGTTCTTCCTCTTCCAACACTTCCTTGTCGGCATGTCACGCTGCCACAGCTGCAGCGGCAGCGGCGCAGTAGAGCTTTAAGCTTTCCGAAAATGTTTTTTAAGAGTTTTTTTCTTTTCTATTGTTATTTATTTTTTATTTCTTCTCTGTATCTTCTTCTTTTTGGCTGCTGATTCTCAGTCTGAGGGACCACAGCTGGGTCAAAAGCACACAGCAAAACTACTGGGTCCCACCGAGGCCACAACACACTTTTTATGGATAGAAATGCAGAAAATATTCTGACCACTGGAAACTGTACGATCTCAGAAACTCTGTTAAACAAACACTTCCTCTTTTATCTGGACACAAGGAAATGTTTCTTCTTCTGGATCCACTCTTCCTCTTCTTCTTCCTCTTCTTCCTCTTCTTCTTCTTCCTCTTCTTCTTCTTCTTCTTCTTCTTCTTCCTCTTCTTCTTCTTCTTCTTCTTCTTCCTCTTCTTCTTCTTCTTCTTCTTCTTCCTCTTCTTCTTCTTCTTCTTCTTCTTCTTCTTCTTCTTCTTCTTCTTCTTCTTCTTCTTCTTCTTCTTCTTCTTCTTCTTCTTCTTCTTCTTCTTCTTCTTCTTCTTCTTCTTCTTCTTCTTCTTCTTCTTCTTCTTCTTCTTCTTCTTCTTCTTCTTCTTCCTCTTCTTCTTCTTCTTCTTCTTCTTCCTCTTCTTCTTCTTCTTCTTCTTCTTCTTCTTCTTCTTCCT